TATAATAGTATCAATCGCTTATACAGTATACTGGGAATAAATAAGGCGCAACTGCGTTTCTCTGTGAATACAAAAGAAACAACATTTAAAGCCTATATTCTAGGTTTTATAAAGTAAAATAATATAATGAAAAAATTAAAACATCTTACATATATTATGTCAAGTGACAAAAAAAATATCGTCGATCAAAGAAGAAAAATAAAATATAAAAAGAGTTTGTATAGGAAAATATATTATGTTTTCCTTACATGTATAATATGTCATCGAAATATAACAAAATCCGCTAGTTAAGTATACACTTAATAAAGGAATCTAAACGAAGAGATACATTGAATTATGTTACGTCCACATTTTCGCAAATTGATAAAGTTACCGAACTCACGCATAATATAATAAGTAAGCGATAACCAAACGGCATGTGCGCTCTGATTGGTTGAATAAGTCACTAACTTAGCCTAACCGTTTAGAATCTTATGAATAGATATTCGTTAGTTTATACATTTAACACGAGACGTCGCAAATTTATCAAAATGTGGGCGTAAAATAATACAATTTATCCCCTTTTGACTCCCTAAAATTATACTAACTCTAGGGATTTTGTATCTCTCGTGACATATTAGTAAGAAAACATCCTATAAAATTGATCGACTTTTTTTGCTAGATTCTGGTGCCATATATGTTTTTAAAATAACAACTGATTGATATTTTTAATAAATCTCATAAATGTATGGTTCCACTCATTCTTTACTTTTCTTTCAGCGATCCGCCAGTCGCAAATATCCCTCAACACGATGCTCTAAAACGCATATTTCCTTCCGAAGAAGTAGAAGTGAAGCCCCAACGTCAAGAGGAAGAACATAATTTAACTAGCGAGAACTCGAATGTCGTACTTTGGCTGTTCCCGGGACATACGATGCCAAGATTCGTCCAACTATTGAATTATCCCGCATACAGGTATCATGTCATCAAGGGCCTGATTGTGAGCGCTGGAGAATTAACTGAGAGCCTGGTAAGTTCTTAACGTATTTCAAATTATAATCTCGTTTTTGAGCACTGTCATATAACTATAAAAAGACAGCCCCTGAGCGCCTTTCAGTTTAAGCCCCTTAAGCTTAGGTTTCCTAGAAAAGCGGTGCCGTTATCTAACGGACGTAATGTAACGTTGGGTGACGTCACCCATACGTTGTCTATAAATAACATCGGAGTGTCAACAGCGGTGCTGTCATTTGCATGACGGCCGTCATAGCGGTGATAAACAGTAGTTCAACGTTTTTTTGCGTGTAGCGGTGCGCATATTTAATTAATACAATGAGTGGAAACGTGACTTGGACTAGCGAAAATGATTGTTTTTTTTTGCATTATGTTAAAAAGTAAAGACGGCCGTTATTAACAACCGTAAAATACACCACAAAAACCGCACCGGCACCGCTTTTCTAGGAAACCTAAGCTTTAGAAAAAATGGCCTTTTTTATTTTTTCCAAAATGCGCCTTAAACTTGATTTATTTCAGTTTAAGGGGCATTTTGGAACCTACAAAAAAAGCCCTGGTTTTTGTCAAAACTGAAATTTTCTAATTAAACGCCAGAATTTTTTAGAGTCTGTATGGTTTATTAATAAACTGAACGATTCTTTTCCGGGAATTAATTTAGAACCTGATCCATTTAATTGACGGTTACATCACTAATCTTTATAATTTCAGGTAAAACACACGACACAGTCCCTATTCTCATACTTGAACTCGCTTCACGAAGATCTCGATACGTTGAAGAGCATCTGTGATACTATAATACAAGTGTTCGCTGATAATCTTCGCGTGAAACGCATCACTGGACCAATTTTCAATTTCCTCGACAGACTGCTGAGTTCAGGTATCTTAGTTGTGGCTTATTTTATTCCACTTCTATTAGAATTACATTTTTAATTAGAATATCTTTAGGTAAGGTCTATTATTTCTAAAAATTGTGCTAACCCTCCGAAATTGACATAAGTGCGGATTGTAAGCCTAGCAATTAAATACATCAATCCTTATTAGCTAACCACATAATTGCACTGTTCGACTCTCCGTAATCAAGTTGCCATGACTGCAAAGTGGTCTTTTAAACTCAATCGCGACCTTTACAAGCGTCATCTACATTACCGACAATATTGCCAACGATAGTGCAACAATATTGCCTACGCTAGTGCAACAATATTGCCGACGCTACTGAAACAATATTGCCGACGCTAGTGCAACAATATTACCGACGCTACTGAAACAATATTGCCGACGCTAGTGCAACAATATTACCGACGCTACTGAAACAATATTGCCGACGCTAGTGCAACAATATTGCCGACGCTACTGAAACAATATTGCCGACGCTAGTGCTACTACTTTTATTACGTTCTTATAAAAACACGCTGTGCTTAATGTTAATGCTTTAGGGCGTGTAAATACTTAATTATACTGTCACTAATGTAACTGTTACTATTTTTTTTTTTGAGTTAGAAAAAAATCATAAAGTTACGTCCCAATTATCCTTTGAATATTATGTGTTAAATGTGATTAATTATTGTGATTTATACAAAAACGTACAAATATTTGGACACTTATTACATATTAGATTAGATGTTTTTAATTTATATTAGTTATTAGTAGAAATCGCTCCACAATTATAGTCCAACCAATTTCATTTTTTACCTTACGAAGTTGTAAAATAAATGTGACAAAAATTCTAAATTTTTTAGTGTGTATGAAAAAAGTTTTTATATTTGATATATAATTGGGCAGACACAAAAAAATAAATATTTTTTTCTCGTAATTGATCAGCCTTCTGTGCCTGACATATTTAATCATTTTCTTGCACTTTTCTTGCAACCTTCACCGTAATGATAAATAGTTATTAAATATAATGGTATTGGTTTAAAAACAATGATTTCATTTGCAGGTTCCATATCTCCCATACTCGAAGACAAGGAGTCTACGTTCGCTAAAAATGTATTGAAGCATTTGCAATTGGAGCTTCGAGGAGGCAAAAACATTTACAAATTATTGGATTCTATTAACGTGTTGTGCCAACTTATTCAGGTATGTTTTTGGATTATGGACATGTTTTAAAGGTAGTCGACGAACTTTTCTAAATCCCATATATTGATATTGGGTTTATGGGATTCAATCATAAAGACTTGTAATGTCTTAAAATAAGAAAATTATATATATTTTTCATTAATGAATCTTTTTCGTCAGGTGGGAGGTGCTGTATGCGCGAGTTCGCTGGGCATGCTCGTGATATATTTGTGTTACGGCGAACGCTATGTTCGTCGATGTGCGGCTGCCCGCCTATATGAGGCGCTCACACTCTATGGGGACGTCTGTGACCTACCCGGGGAGAACCTTGATCAGGTAATACTCAGTAGTATAAGTAATTTGACAAGTAGACCAACTCATCGGAACGCCTAGAGAGTATTACTTCTATGAAATATTGTTTTATCTCTTTCTGTCAAAACTGTGTATACGCTGTGTTGGAAAGAGACAAAGTAGGTACTTATATTATACAGTGCAATTATATATATTTAGAACGGTCTCTAATAGTAGTTTATGCAACTCATATAATAGAGGGTATTAAAACATGAGTGTAGTTTCAAAATAAGTTTACACAAGTGTTTTAATACCTAATTATATGCAGTTGCATACACTACTTTATTTAATCTCATGGCTGTAGGTACATTAAATAAAATACAATATGAAAGAAACAAAAGTTTGTTATTGGTCTATTGGCTCGGAAACAGCGCGCTTACCACAGATAATGTGTACTTAAAATTTAAATTGAATTGAAACCTCCTTGGTTTGTTTTGTTTTTAACCATTGTATTTGAATAATCAAAAAATTGTTTTAAAGCATTGTTTTGTTAGGAGAATAATGCTTTAATTGAATTTTCTTAAAGAAGTATATAAATAAAATATGCCACTAAAAGCCTGTATTTCATTTCATAATTAGAATATTACCGAATGAGATTATATAAAAGTTTTTAAATGCCAACTTGTGCTATTTTAGATTTACAAACTTTGTCTTTGAAGTAAATTGTGTCTAATGTGTGGGTAATACCCAATTGTCTTTGGTAAATGACGTCAAATGATTTAAAAAAATTCATAAATATTGTAAATTAAGTTTGACTTAAACCGTTCGCTTAGACTTCTTGAAGTACTAGGCTTGTACGTTTGTTAATATTTCTCGTAGTGTGTTGTATTGCAGTATTTTTTTTTTAAATTAATTTGGTGTGTCGCAAGACACAAGTCAAAAACACATTTTCTCCTTAGTTTACACCAATAATTTAACACTTTCAGGTAATGTCAATTTTGGCGGACACAGACTGGGAAAAGGACGTGAATGAATTGAGGCCCATAAGAAATGAGATTTGCGATCTCATGGGAATAAAAAGACCGGTTATAAAAGCTAAGAAGCCTTAAAACCGATTCTTACTCCTTGATATTAATTTGCTTATGGCAACTTTGCCAGTTGCTATTATTATTACCGTTTTCTTATCGATTAATAAGATTTGGTCAGGTCTATGTTTTAAATTATCATTTTTGTCTTTGTAAGACTAACTGGCCGTATTCATAGTGAACACAGTCAACTTAACTTCCATAAATTTGAAACTAAAAATAGTCTACCATATAATTGGATTTCCATAAATGTTGTGCTCTCTTTCCCTCACATGAAATATATAGCCATCCCGTTTTTGGGGAAGTCGATAACAAAACGGAATATATATGTAAGCCTTTAAATAACCCCATGCTAAGCGCATGAAAGTGCTTATAATAAATTGCTTCGTACGTTATTCACAATTATGTTACGGATCGTAGCAATATTTTTTTTACTTTTGTTAACAAGTGATTGTTTTATTTAAATGCTATGAAATAATATTCTCATCTCATTAAAGTATTTATTATTACATGTGTTTTATTAATAACCTAAATATACATTTCACAGCTTAATAAGTATACAAAAATCTTAATTATCTTTTACCCAATGATTTGCAAGTCGGCAGGGTCTTGAGGTGCATCGGCAATTAGGTTGGACCAAAATGTTCCATAGTTCTTTAAAATTGTTCCCCTGTAATAAATGTATGTTTATTTGGTGTAGTTCTGTTATAAAATCTACATACATTTTCCAGAAACCGACCAAATTAGTATCAAAGTTATTCATAAAAGATCGAAAACACGTTTTCTAAAACCAATAGTTTTATTGTTGTTAGAACAGTTTCTTAACGCATATTTCTGTCTATTATAGCGATCATATATACAGAAATAAATTGTAGAACTCAATAGTTAAAATCTTAGGTATTTCTTTATTAAATAAACTTGATTACACACCAAATCGGTGCTATCCTAATTCCAGTGTCATTTCGAAAATCAAACTATTTGTCTGTTATGAATACAACCATAAATTTTAAATTGGAGCGACGTCGATAATTAATATTTCTGATAGCTTGTCACTACTAATCAGTAATGTTGCTACATTATTGATACTCGACCATAAAATTAATTCATAGAAGCGCACATCACATGAGGTCAACATCTTCGATGTGAAAGGCCGTTACCATATACAGATAATTTAGTTCTAGAAAACCTTAAATGGTATAATCATAGATTTAAATAGTGATAGAAGATTTTACAGTTAATAAGATTCGTAATTAGTTTGTAATTTAACATTTGAGCAATGAATAATGTGAGACCATGAACCAAGATTAAAGATCAACGCGAATTATAATATCTATTTTCTTCGAGCTTCTACGATTGTTATCGTAGGTATAATATAAAACTGAATTCAATAAAAACACATTCAGAATTATATTTGTAGAAATAATACTTATTCGTTATACTCATTATCTCAACACGATAAGTGTATATTTATACGATAAATTTAAAATTGGTTATTATTTTCACTTGAAAACTTACGTAAAATACACTCTGCCATGTGTATGCTGAGGCGAACGCCATACAAGTGTAGCCCTAGATTTGTCTCTTGGATCCGCGTGTGTCACGGACGAGCATTCAGGATGCACAGTCGTGTTGGGTGTCTTCTCCCAAGCCCCAATCCAGTCGTTTGTTTCCACTGAACGTGCTTGAATGAAGAAACCCTTGAAGGTATCTACTCCTTCAATTGATACTGGAAATCATATTTTTTATTTAGCATAAGTGCTCGCTAATATTTGTTTGCACATGTCAGAAGTGAAACTTCATTGTAAATTAATTATTGAGTAGTTAAGCTGCCTAAATCCCGTAATTTAATTTTGCTAGTATTTCTATATTAATGAATGATACTAAGGCTAATTAAAAACCAGAACAAAAATTAGTTGTATATAGAAATACCACCATAAATATGGTAACAATTACCAAATAATATAACAAATTCATTATTATCATAATTGATGACTTATGTCCACATTTTCTAAAATAGCCAACTGGGTCTTTGCAAAAAAAGGTCTTGGTTCTGTGCCCTTATTAAAATACAAAACCAACAAAAAAAAAATGGTAATTTAGTTACTTAGTAAAATAATAATGATATGTATTAAAAACTCCATCGGTGTTCAAGTCTCAATCGCTCTCTCCCTTTTCTTCGACAAAAACGCTGCACATCTTCGTGACGTTCCGTAAAATTTATACCCTTATGCGCCTAAAGAAGTTTCACTTCAAAAACATTGTTAACCAGACATTTAATTTGGAGCCGGTGTTTCCTGTTTCACCCTAAAGGAGTTGATTTAAACAGCTGTTGCTGATTTGAACAGGTTCTAGCCCTTTCATGTATCATAAAGACTTATGCCAACGCATTCTAAGAATTTACTAGCTGAATCGGCAAACGATTTTTTGTCATAAATAGATTATTATAGTACTAATATTTCAATTAAAAAATTGAAGTTGGTGGTTGGTTAATTATAACAATTTTGGGGTGGACTAACGGTTGACCTGGTTAACAGTTAACGACCTTTAAATATCAGACCTACCTATAAAAACTGTTAACGTCGTTATCTCAGAGAGTGGATTGAATCACTGACACGAGTCAGAAATTTTTTTATTTAGATATTATGAAGTGTTGAAGTTGATAATTATGTCCCGGTATTAATGAATATATTTTATTACATCAAAACTTAAACTTTATACAGTACGCGAGAAATAGATAAGTAGTCATTAGCACTAATTAAGAATTTTAAGAGCATAGGTCAACTGAATGATCATACCGTGGCAGAAGCAACATAATTTTCGTTATGATCAACGTAATATAATGACTTGAACGTGTAAGTACCTAAGCAAGTTTGCCATAAGTGTGTGACCTACAATAACAACGTTCTTGCGTAATACTATCGAGTGGGTTACGGACTCGTACGCAAACAGTTTTATCAATGAATTATTTTTAATGTTAGATAAACTGTCAAGCAATTAAAGCGGAACACTGATTACTGTTAATAAGAATTATTTAAATAGTGTAGAATTCTTGCGCGATCGAGTCATCCTTTCTACGCAAAATTCTTATTGCGCTGCTAATATTATCAATATCAGTAAACATTTTCGACATTATTTTTACACAATTACTTATTATCAATGATTTGTATACAATACAAATAATCGTTAACACAAACCTATTTATGTTATAATATTATAACACAAACTATGCTACTTGAATTTATTTATCATTTTCAGGATTCTGGTTAAGGTAAATGTAATAATAAAAGAATCGGAAATTTAATTACCAGTGATGCGCATTCCAGGACGATACATAGCTGAAGATGCCACAAATCTGTAGGGTATCGTTGATAATGGCTGTGTCCTATGCTGGCCGTGATTCGGTTGATTTGCACGATCCTTGACGCATGCGTCTATCGGCGCCCCATCAGGGAATCCCCCCTACCCTCCAATATAACAAAAATAAAACCACTAGTCTCGATATCATTTCGAAATCTTAATTTTTGGTAGCCGCCAAAAGGTCCGACGTTCGACTGTGCACGCGCAGCATTTTGCGTTCACTTTTGTAACTTTGAAAGGATCTAGATTTTGAACAAGTTAAATCATTAGCTTTTACATATGTGACATGACGTGTATCCGCCCCGTTTATGTGTTGGGCAACTTATATCGATTATCTAGTTGGTTTACTTAATGTGTTTCGATATTGCTATAGTTGCAGCAGTCTGTATACTACCTATTAATTCTTTGTATGAACATTTTTTTATAAAATATTTAATAGTGGAAATATATAAAAGAACGAATGAATGAAGGAAAGAAATCTGTAATGCTGCTTTAATCTACTAAACTATGCTCTACTAAAACTTATAATATGAACTGTCGAAATTGGTAATCGCAAAATCAACATTGCTGATATTCTATAGAATCGGCAATAGAGTATCAAATCCATCTAAAATAATCTTTAACGGAGTAGCCATGCTGAATTACATGTAATATGGTAGCTTAAGAATAAAACAAGATGTAAATTAAATAAAAATAGTCTTGAACATTTTATTATGAGAAAAATATAAATTCTTAATTAGCTTGAATAATGAAATAACAATTAATCATATTCTACAATAACAATTTTTTCGTTTTCTTTCCTATTAGGTGAAAGTAGTTCTGATTTCAGGACGAGGTTGTCGTTAGTTTCCATGTATTGTATTATTTCATCTAACATATCACTATTTTCGTATTCCTTCAAGTTATCATTGTCTTCCCCAACATTCTGATATATACTTTGTTTTGGCTCTTTCTCTATTTTTGCTTTTTTATCATTTTCCATATCTTTAGCTGCCTTAGTTAGATCAATCACTGAATTGTTATAAATGCTACTATCAGGTGACGTGCATTTCAACCAATCCGGGCAATTAATGGACACACTTGATGCGTTAGTGAAGTTATAGTCGTTATCCAAATCAGGTCTATCTAGATAATCATATCCACCATTCACCAGACCATTATCACCTATAGTTTCATAGACTGGGTCCAGAATTTCTGCCAATCGTTCTGTAGCTTGTATTGATATGATTTCAGCGACATGTAATCTTTGTCTCATGTATGTGTAGGGGTCTTTTTCTTCCATGTTAGATGGTAGAGCAGTACTGTATGTGAATCGGCGTTCGGAGTTAACATCTATACTTGTGTGGTAGTTCGAACCTCTTACACGCGATACTACAGCGCTTTCTGTTTTCTTGTATGTCGCTTTTATAAGTCCGTGAACCTAAAAAAGTAATGTGTTAATAATCAGTAGTGCGACGAGAGCAGTGTTAGCTTATTTAGCTGCAGTCGTGCGTTTATGCCCTCAAATTTTATTTCTAGGTGCGCAAAACATTCCCGCACGTTGAAGGTGTCTTTAGAAGACATTAAAAAGATACTAGCACATCTTAGATAGAAAAATCGACGAGACAAAACTGGCTCAGACATAGAAGGCTACTAGACAAGTAAAAGAAGGAAAAAACCAAACGGATCCTGTAATCCCAGGCCAAGACCTGTAGGATTGCTGCCCTACTGGATTATACCTAAGAAAGATAAGCTGTAAATTTGGAAGAATTTACATGACGACATTTTAATTATTGCACAATAATTAATGAATGAGAATAGAAGAATTTTACCTCTTTGTTAACATAGCAATAGAGTAAAGCCACGATGAATCCTTGCAAGCCTTCTATCGTGTAGGCAATGAAATAGTAAGTTTGTTCCCATACACAGTCATCAGTGCTTGGTCTGACTGCGGTAAATATAAACTGAGTACCAAATAGCGGCATCAGGAATAGTGTCGCCTTTGCTGTGCTCCTATAATATTATTGAAATATGCCTTTATTTCGCTTCATAACATAGGATTATGTACCATAAATTGATAAATAGTTAGCAATATCGCGAAAGAAATTAAGATTATTTTTGTTCGGATGTAGAAGTTTTTGAATAAATTAAATGTAAACGAAATATCTCTATGGCTTCATTATCACTCGGCACTCACTAATAATAATAATAATTATTAGTTTAATAGAGTAATAATAATAATTATTATTAGTTTAACTTGGAGGTTCTTGGTTCTCATCCAAAGAGCAGGCTTTGAGTTGAAAGTTACAAACGTTTATTCCATTAGGCGATATACAAAATGATTCGTAAAACTTCTATACTCCACGTTATTATAAAATATTGCAACTTAAAAAATTAGTGCAAAAATGTATTTGACTCACAATTGATTAGCATTTTCCGAATTCCGTATCTTAGTTAGCAATACCCTCAAAACGTCAATAAATAGTACTGTATTCAGAAAAAGGATTAAAATTCTGGGAGCATCAATGATCCACTGGATATGATCGACAGTGTAGACAATCCAACAAGAGTGGTCATTTTGCAGTGCCATTACCACTGACCATGCAGCTACTGGTATTATTGCGATCACTGAAAAAGTAGTTATAATTAATAAAGTACAAAGGCTTCCCAAGAACATACAAGTTATAAGTTTTTAATAAAGCAACCCTACACTAAAGGCCGACAACGCATCCTTTAATATGGTATCCGTGGGCTCAGGGCTGCGGTAGTCACCTTTATGGCCGATATGTGAACTTAGTTTACGTAAATTTAATTTAATTTTAACTGTACAGAAATAAAATATCCACATAAGTATATATTTTTATATTACACTTTCACTTACTAAGTAACTTTCAGTTAAAAAATTGTGAAAATAGATAAGGATCCGTAAAAGTATTTAAAAAAGTTTCGGACTACATAATTTAAATATATTTTACTAAAATTAAAATGATGTAATTTCACCGAAAAACCAACGGCTTTGAAATGTTTTGTCTCTATTTAGATTTAAAACAATTTCACGCTTATGGCATATCAATAAGACTAAATATTATTCATACTAAAAATAGAATATTTTATATTACATAATAAAGACTTACCTGCTCCGATCCCATACAACCATACAATTTGCAATTTCCTCCTAAACACGGCAACTATAAGCCGATGCAGATATATGCCCTCCACTAACATACATATAAACACAGCGTTACCCGCTACACGTTCCGCTACAGCCAACGCTCTACACGCTACGCCATTCAGGGACAAAACAGTGTCTCCAGCGGTTGTTAGCTCATCTACATAGACCTTACACCGAAAAAATATTTATAAGCGTTAAGAATGAGTCACATTAAAGATATTTATATAAAATAACTAGCTGAACAGGCAAACGTTGTTACATGGCAAATGTATAGGAAACATTTTTTTAGTTCTTTAAAAATCTACTATAATAAAAAATACTGTTCATAGTAGAGGGGTGAAAATTAAGGGTTCTATGTATTTTTGGATGCTGTATCATAAAAAAATAAAAACAAAAAATGTTGTTTAAAAAAGAATATAGGGGGATGAAAAATACGCAGACCTAACCGCAATGCACACAAAATTTCAGGAAAATCGGTCGAGCCATTTCGGAGGAATTTAATTACAAACACCGTGACACGAGAATTTTATATATTAGAAGATTATTTAATTAAAAATACTAGCAGCCAAATGTTGATAGGCACCTTGGTAGATATACATTCTCCTAATTATAAATATACATTAAAATTAGTTTTTTAGCAAACAACAGATGAGCGCACTAATCCTGCAGCCGGACCATAAGATTGACGTGTATGCAGGATGGTTAAAAAGTCGTGGATCAAACGCAAATAGGTTATAGATGAGGTCATCAGCTGCAAAAAATTCTTCTACGCTCAACAACGCTTCTGCAGGGGTTGAGGTCTCTAAGCTCAACCCCTGCATAGTTATAATTTATTTTGCGTTTTGATAAAAAAATTTTTTACTAATTCTTATTAAAATTTGATAATATCTACATCCTATATCTTTTTCATAATATCCACTAGATTGGTACTGATGAGTTCTTGCGTTAGACATACTATTTATAGTTGTTTATTGAGGGTATTGAAGATAATATTAAGTTATACGATATAAAAAAATTTCAAATCATAACTTTTTGTTTACTTCGGACCCCACTGTGGAAAAAAATTACTCTACCGAAAAGTGACCCTGTATTACAAGTTTTGGCGCATTTAATAGAGATTCTGAAAAGGTATTACACATGGCCATGAGTCGCTCTAATATCTTTCTAGGACGAAAAACAACAACAACGATTCAAAACCGACACAAAAAAATAATATATATTATAATATAATATATATTCTATAAAACCCAGATATACGAGTTCAAATGGATGTCGTTGCTCTACAAAATATTTAAAATTGCGAATTTGAAGGCAGTCAATCTTGCGTGGTTTTCGTAGTGGCTTCATTCAAAAGTGGCAAAGAAAACGCACTCTTGAGCCGTTTAGATTTGTGAGCCTCCATGGACCGCATCACCATGAATGAATCTTCATGTCCGTTAACCCCTCTTATGAAACAGTAGTTATAAGTAAAAAGCAGTGGCTTGAGCGTGGGCCTCACACTGAGGTCTTGCGTTTGAATCACAGCCGTAATTATATTTTTATGTGCGCAGTTAGCACTCGTTCGTACGATGAGATTTATAAAAGATTAATTATCACAAGAACTTATATCATATGTACTTACCTCACTCCTGCTGACGATGACCAGGACGTTGCGAATCACAATGGCTATTAAAAGATTCCTATGCAACGCCACTCTTGTTATCCTAAGTCTCTTGTAGAAGAAAAAAATGAATATGGCCGGTATACAGCAGGCAATCGAAAACGATAGCATAGCGATATAAAAACGATATCTTCGCAAAAGGCGCGGTGTTATGCTACACGTTGTGTAGTCCGTTTGAAGCTCCCATGTTCCATTTTCAAAGCATCTCTTACTGCTGAAGTCTATAAAATACCAATTGTCTTATTATGAAACGTGAATTAGTGTGTTACCATGGTTACGGTAGCTTTAGTCCAACTTTTATTATAGGATTGTGAAAAGTTCATTGCTGTTGGAAAAGTAAATCTTATTAAAAGGAAATACATTAGAAAAAACTATTTACAGAATCTTAAAAGATAATGTTATACATATTATATGGCTTATCACTATATACAAATTATAGTATTATATTAAATTGCGGCCCTTGAGGGCCGGGAAACATTTTATAAGGACAATACATACTGAATTATATTGTAGCACAAAATTACATGTAATGTGAAGTTTATAGTATCTTATTAGTATAAACATTAAACACGCGCCATGGCTGCTGAACTAATTTTGAAGAACGTTTATATGAAAACTGGAAAGACCAAGGGTACTTTTTTCTATATATAGGCTGCTTAATAGCTTCCTGCTCACCGTTCACAATTAAAAAAACGGATAAAAGACTGGCTTCTGAACACCTCTTACGCAGAGTTAGATATGCTACTAAGATCTAACATGTAGTTGATTCATACACATTACACTCCCTCATTCACTCAAGAGTGTTACGCGTCGCGTATGCTGTCTAAAATTAGGGGAAGAATTTGTTGTAAACAGTTAAAAAAAATGTTACTAAAATATATATATATATATTAACTTAGTTATGGAAGAGCTGGGAACTCTAATATAGGTATTTTTTACTTAAGTCTTCCCAAATCTTACACACTGTAAATCATATATATTTTTTTTTTTTTTTTTACAATTCACACCAATTGACCGAGTCCCATGCTAAGCTGGTGAAGCTTGTGTTATGGGTACTAGGCAACGGATATACATACATATTATAGATAGATAGACATATAAATACATATTTAAACACCCAAGACCTAAGCACAACACCAAATGCTCATCACATCGATGTTCGTCTCAGCCGGGGATCGAACCCGGGACCCTTGGATTCGCAGTCATGGGTACTAACCACTAGACCAATGAGTCGGTCATATGTAGTCTTGATAAATAAACACATTTTTATTTTTTATTTTATTTCTATGCAATGTAAGCCAGTGTGTTAACTTACGGTTGCAAGATGGACCCGAACTGGAGTAAGCAAATTCAGAGCAAACAGCACTCGCCACTGTACCATTTTGAGCTGAGTCCCAACACGTCCACCCGTCAAAGGTCGTTTCGCAAACATTGTTTTCTGTTTGGATAGGATTAAAATTATTTTCCGGCTTAATTAGCTGCACACGAAAATTAAAACAATTAAAGGCGTGACAAAAATGTGGGAGCGTGTAGTTTATTGTTTATCAGAATGCCAAATCATAAAATGACTGCTTCACGACTGATTTGAGAGCGACCGCCGATGCGAAAACCGCTGGGTGAGTTCGAAAAGTGAGTTACAGAATCGCAAGGCTGGTTTTTCTAATTAATATCTTGTGTTTGTTTTATATTTTGAGTGTGATATTTTATTGGTTATGCATTCTTGTTGATTTAGGGTCACTTGTTAGGACAGAATTTTTGTAAATAAAAAAATAGAAATAATCTTTATCGGTTGCTAACTAAAATTAAAAATTATAATCTTTAACGCCTATGCCAAAAGAATTGCACGTCTGTGGAGTGGCTAAAAGTGATAGTATGAAATATGTACTATAGAAATCATATAGTTATAATCAATATTAGATCTTTATATTGAAATATCATTTTAAAAATTAATAAATATTTCGTTTATATTCTCAAGGTATAAAAGTTATTAACAAACCAGTTCTATCTCCCATGAAGTTGCTACAACAATCCATAGCTTGATAAAAACATCGCTCCCACCGACCGTGACCTGATGGTACCAAGGCATCTCGTACTGCTATTGCTACCTCTTCGAGGGCAGGATCAAATGGATAGCAGCCACACGAGCCGTCCTCCTTAACCTTATTATGAAGGACAGGAAGAGAAACGTTTACTACTGTTTCACTGATTTTTTGTACTCTATTTGGTAAAATTTGTATTAAAGTTCATTTGACTTTCATTATTAAAATCAACATATTGAGCTATAAACCAAGCAAAAGGTTTAAAATAATTAAGTTACGTGGAATTTTAGAGTCCTTTCTGTGCCTAAAAATATTTTATCTAAGACACGGCAGTTTCCTCACGATGTTTACCTTTATCGTACGAAGTTTAAAAGAAATAAAAATCTATTGTCACACAGCCAATAACACGCTTAAACTACTAGGCCAACACTATTAAGTCTATTAAATGTATTAAAAGGAAACAAAGACTTACTACTTCTAAGCACGGAGCGAAGAGGTTACCATAAACACACCCAGCATTGAGGTTCAAAGGATTAGAACCATTGACATATAGGAAATCTGGGGTGAAGAGTAGGCACCCTCGTCCGGCAACCCATCGGTACACTTGTTCGTGGTATCTGACATTACGGAAATTACACGTCTTACCAGCCTCGGAGGGGACTGTGTCGGGGGGTTCCTGGAAATTCAATGACAATGGAAATTTACAAGAGCAATATAATGTATTCCTAAGCTAAATAATACGTCTTAAGTTCGCTAATTTTTACACAAATCTCAATTATTTATAAAGAAATTCTTTGCATTGGATCGAATTCGAGGGTATTGGTAAGTATGGCGTCTACCTTCTCGTTGCTTGATGTTAGTAATTTTTTTAATATGGTATACCTTTATTACAGAACATAAATATTTAATCAGCAAATAAATTTATTAAATATTCTTCTTCCAAAGGGTTCTTACTGTTAAGAGCAGTTATTTTTAGACATGCCAAACAACCTAATTCGAAAACATATTATTCTACTGTGTCGCAGGTATTACTAAAAAATAATAAAAATGTGGACTGGAAAAAACTCGTGCAATGTAAATCAAAGCAGTAAAACCTTATTATCTACCCCTCGAGTATGCATACATACACTACATATATTATAACAGAATCTAAAAATAGTGGATGAAGTTTCAGTTTTACCTCACAGATATAAATATTGGGCTTTTCACAAGCGAGCTGAGCATTAGTGCGCAGTGCCACTCGAGGGCTACGTTGGTGCCAAACACTTAAGTCCACACTCACGGGGTTGAGGCCGTCGTAAGCGTCACCCTAGAGAGCAAGAATAAAATTTCCATTTAGAAAACAAACACATTTCATATACCTGTTGTAGCTTCATTGCGTGCTTTGCAAGAAACATGAGATTCTGTAAACATTTTTAAATTCCGAGACAGTACACAACAACATAACAAAGACGAATTTGATAAAATATACAAACAGACCTGCCAACGGCATATTCGAGTTCTCAATTGTTGGAATTTGATTCGAAAGAATACACATTTTATACTCTTGAATTTTGGTCCAGCGCGATCATGTGGTTCGAAATGTCAAACAAGGTTTAAATATCTATATAATATATGGTCTATATCAGAGAAAATGAATCAAGAGATTCTACAAGATAACTATATAATTAACAGGTAATACGTTAGAGCAAGATTTTTTGATTGAACCAAATCAAGAACCATATGTTGTATTAAGTAGGTGTTCTTAGGTATTATATATTAACTGCTACCCTAAATGTATATTTCTACCTAGAATTTGTTAGTTTTTCTAAATACATTACCATACCTGTTGAATAAGCCACAATAAAATGAATATCCAAGATTTATAAGATCCGAACATTATGTATCACGAAATTCTTACACAGAAAATCCATAATGACGTAGAAACACTTTTTGTTCACAAATAATTAGTAAATCACTGCTTATGTAGCTAAGGCGAGTAATACACATAGCACGAGACAAAATCATAACAGCCTTTGTTGATTGTGGACTGAAAATTATTTTCTCTTCGACCACGTCAATTGTGCTAAACAGTGTTTACAAATTATCTAGAGGACAATCAATTGTTATCAGAAATTAATCACTAAATATGCTGTGATTCAAATAGCGACTAAAAAGTCTTATCATTTGAATGTCAACTTTTAATAATCTTATTAGTGAAATATTCATACATTAATTTACGGTAATTTGAAGCGTTTATACAGTTTCGTTATGTACGAGGCATGCCTTTTAAGTTTTGTCGTTTGCAGAAAAAAACACAACTAGAACCTTATAGTACTTTTTATTGTTTTTCAAAGTATTCACCACGTAGCTTAATACACTTTTCCATTCGCTCAAACCAGTTATTATAACATTAATTCCACTCTAAAGTGGAGGTGTTCAAAATGGCTGATTTGAAAGCGTCGACTGCTTCTTCACCGGACTGAAACCTTTGACCACGAAGACTTTTCTTAATTTTTGGAAATGTAAAGAAATCGTTAGGGCTTAGGTCAGGACTGTATGGAGGATGGTCAAGAATTTCTTCTTTTCCTGCTTCAAATACTGAATTGTTTGACGAGCACTGTGTGAGCTTGCGTTGTCGTGGTGCAGGATGATGCGTCGCTTTAAGTTAGATTTTCGAAGTTTGGCGATGACTTGTGGTAAACAAACTGTGGTATACCACTCTGCGTTAGCCATTCTACGATCTTCAAGTGCAATAGTCGCAACATGGCCGGTTTTTCCAACGAACGTGGCCACCATCATCTTTGAAGTGCTTCGAGAACGAACGAGTTTAGTCGGCTTTGGCTCGTCTTGAAAGACCCAGATTGTAGATTGTTGTATGGAATCAGGATCTTCTCGGAGTCTTTGAGTAAATTACAACGTTATTTTGAAATCCATACTTATAATTCAAAAGCCAAATGGGTTAAATTAAATAAAAAAATTGGCTACACAAAAAACAAATATAGTTTTGAAATTCTACACACATTTTCCGTCTATGCGCACTCATGTCAGATTTAGTTTCGGATGATTAAGTTACAAAATGGGACAGCAGAATATGTAATAATCTGAACAGGAAGTGTTGTTTGGAGTAATCATTACTTGTTATAACATAATAAAATCGGAATATCGACATTTTGAAATCAGAAATAAAAACATATGCAATCTTGACACGTGTTGAGCGAGTGTCGCGACTCCATAGCACAAATCAGTAATAATCATTAGTAAGATAAAGTCATTTTCCTTTATCACTCATGCATAATATTTACAATACTAGACCACTATCTAAGGGAAAGTATGCACGTTTTAATGACATCTATCACGAGAATAATAATATAATACAGAGGATCTAACATAAAATGATAAGTGGATATTTCCAGATTCGATTTGATTTTTGACCTCATACTGTCTTCAGGATTTGAATGATTTAATGTTTCTATAACATTTTTAACATTGAATTGGTATTCATTAAAATTTATGTATTAAATATATATAGGTACCTACTCAACTTACTTATAAACAATTAGAATCTACCATAGAAAGATTCTGGATTCTATAGTACACCATTTACCTTATTATGTATTATTAATATTACCACTATCGCTTTTTGCGCCATTTTTATTACCGCAATTTCCTAAAAATTTATCGTAAATATTCATAATATTTGCCAAATAACTAATTTATTTTAAAAAAATCTACTCCACGTACCTATCGAAAGCGAAAATGTGTCATCTGAATTAAATTTTGTTTAAATAGTACAACTTTAATAATACACTCTTTATAACTCTGTAGATTTGATTCGTAGATTTTGATGAACCTAACTTCATAATTATATTCATATAATAAGGCAAGTTTTTATAAAAAAGAATTTAATTATTTGATACCTAATTTTTTACACTCGTAATCATCCTATACTAGTTTATTATATAGAATAAAATAAACTATCCTCGGATAGGATGGACTAAACTATATAAAAAATACATGTAACTCAGTAGTTTCCTTGGAAAAATGCACGCGCCATTTAACGTGCGTCATGCGTGCGCTAAAGCAAACGTTGCCACAGGTGACCAACAAAAAACAAAAATGCCATTCATATGACAGAACTCATACAAATAAGTAGTAATCTGTGATCTCGTCTATTGCTCTCAATAATTATTGATGGAACATACATTCAAATTCTTACCCTGCGACATACTGAAATAGAATTATAACATCGGGACAGTATCTAATTGTTTTTTTTTTTAAGAATTTGTCAACATATTATGCAATCTATATACAAATTTGGTCATTGATTATTTTCTTAAATAGCTTTGTTTTTTCTTAATTTTTGATTAAATAAATTATCAGTATTATTGTTTTATGATTGCCTTTTTAATCTAAGGTCACGGCCTGGATACTGGTATATTATCTATTTTTCCTGATATCATTGCAGTTTCATAACATAAACAATTTTTTTTCGTTATATAAGCTTTTTGGAGCCTTTAAATATATATGTATGAATTGAGGATCAAATAGATATAAAGAAAGTAAAAAGAAAAAGCTTTATTATACTCAACAAGGCTATTATATAGGAAAAAGGAAGTGCACTAGCCCCCACACTAGAATTCCCTGTGTGGGGGCTAGTGCTAGGGCAGCCAGTCTCTTTTGACATGGTAACTGTACTTGACATTTGACAATAATTTCTACATAACACAATTTATAATTTAACTTTTGTTGCACAATTAGATGTTGTTTAAGATTGTTAGTGAATGTATGTGAAAATTTTTGTTTAATGCCCGCCTTCCACTGCGAGCGAAACGGACCCATTACCGACTCCGCTATACCCGTAACGATGATTTTCATACATTTTCATTTCCGTGGGAAACTCGGTCAACTCGCTAACCTCATATGTGATACTTTCAACTCGCTCTCTCCGCTGCGCTCGTCTCCGCTTTGGTGGAAGCACATGTATGAAAATCATCGTTACGGGTATAGCGTAGTCAATAATGGGTCCGTTCCGCTCGCAGTGGAAGGTGGGCATTAAGGAAGTGGTTAAAGATGAAAGGGCCTGGGAAGGAGAAAAAGCGTTGGGCGAAGAATGTGCGTTATTTGAGTTGCTTATATGTATGTTTGCGTCATGTATGTTGTAGGTACTATATATGGTCGGTGTTTGTTTTCAAAACTGTTCCAAGCCTCCATATTGATAACCGTTAAAAGTTTTGTTTCATTGTGCAATTTTGAAGTTGAATAGCTAAAAGGTTTCCTATCTTAAGAATGGCAGATTGGACACGCTCAATTTTCAGCATTGAAGACTTTGCCGCTCCACCCCATACCGATATGTAGTAAGATAATATCAACTAGCATAAGAGAGAGAGTTTGGATACATTTATAAGTTTTGATAAATGTACTGAGAGCCTACTATGAACTCTTATTGCGAGCCTATTGACAACCTACAACTGAGATGCATCGCTAATTCGTACCATGACATCGAAAAAACGAGACAGTTTATGTTCCCACGTGACCTTACCGGTTATCAGATGTCGTTCGTTCAATTTGCATGAAAATATATTATATTTTATAATAAATAAGAATGCCATATAAAATATAAATTTATTAAAATAAATTTTTCCTTATTATGTTCATGAATTGTATTATCCTCCTCCGCTTTTTGTTGTTTAAAAAAATAGGTATTTTTCAAATTTATAATGTGTGAATAATAAGCCATTTGAAAATATTATAATATCTTTTGCAAAGGGTTATATCAGGAATTCACTTCGAGATAGGTATTTATTTTTAATAAACAAATTTGTGAACAATACCCCATCATATTATTTTATAAGTTAAACAATTTGTAAAAGTATATTTATAAAACTGAAATTTTGTAAGCACCGAAATATTGAAAGCTCCTATGAAACGTGTGGTGTGACGGAAACGTTTAAAAATAATAAGTGTCAACTATCATAGCACCAGAAAACTTTGTTTAAAATGTATCAAAAGAATAGTTTTATATTAAATAAATTTATATATTAAGACATAATAGCTTATTGTGATTGATGAATTATTTAAAATAATTTTATATTTTATTTATTTTTATAGAAACATATGTCAAAAAGTTTGACAGCTTAATTTCCTAGTGGGTGTACCATGCTTTTGCCTTCGGGCTTTAGCCAAATGGGCAGGCACGACCGGGGCAGTACCACTGCCTCTCAGAAAACCGGTGTGAAGTGATGCAATAAGTTTTTCCTAATTGTACTCGCGTTTCGTGCGGTGAGTGAGATTCCCGGAGCCCATCCATCTACCCGGGATACAAATTTTAACATTCATTTGTGCCGCGGGCGGGAGTTTGCGTGTACGTCAGAGAGGATATCTGTTCTCGTTGCCTCGGGACGCTTGAAGGAAGGGACCTATCTAACCTCTGCCTTCGCGATTCTATGCCTGCATGTATAGGTCCCATAGCGGAAATGACGAAACTAACCGACTCAACGAGCACATTCAAATGGCTACAGATTCCCTGCTCGAAAGGGTTCCTACCGCTGAAATCGTGATACTTGGCGATTTTAACGCCCATCATGCCGATTGGCTTGGCTCTGATACCACCGATCAAGCGGGAAGATCTTTTCACGATTTTGCTTTAGCCTACGACTTGACACAAATGGTCCCTGCGATTACGCGAATATCAGATGTGGATGGTCATAAACCCTCTTTGTTGGACCTTCTGCTGACTTCACATCCGGAGAACTATCAAGTATCTGTTGACCCGCCATTGGGTTCATCGGATCATTGTGTGGTCCGGAGTACTGTGCCACGCCGGACTTCTGTGAGATAGTGGTACTGTCCAATAACCTCTGTCACAGGTTAACTGTTTGCGCTCGTAAAGTCACAGGT